ACGAATAAAAACAATCGTCGCTTAAAAATAGCCGTGATTTCATCTCGCAACATGTGATGTTGATGTTTTCTTTCAGCATAATGAACTGTGGTATTCCCACAAGTTATCATCCCATGTGAAATGTCCTGGTAGAGCAGTCCCACACGGTGAATCGCTACACTAAATTACTAATGATAATGAACCTCGACTGTGGAATAGGGAACGGGAACTTCTTCCAGGAACAGACGGAACCGTAAAACAACGTAACTCAGTTCGCAAGCTCCGCGTCTCCGCCATATGGAGAGCGTGAGAGCTTATGTTTCCCCACCATCTGATGTTATTATCGTGACTGCCCATTGCAAATATTGAGATAGCAACATCCGCATTTAGTGGTCATTTGTGTTTTTATATAGGTCAAATTCAGGAAGTAAAACCGCAAAGATAGTAAAACATCCAATATTTAAGGAAAAATCCCATTAATGACAATGGATGCTTTTATTGCTGATAGTGATAACTTAAATTTTTGTTTTTATTTGAAGTCCTTGTGACAAAAATGAACTGAAAATTGATGATAATTGTTTAACAACTCTTCCGCTGCATATGAATGCGGGCTAAAATTGTATTTAAAAATAATTTATTTATTGCTTTTATTTTAGTTTGCTTAATATAAGTATCGACTTTGTTGTATTATTTATTTCATTTACAAAAAAAATACATAAAGGAATAGTATGCACTAAGGCGAGATCACCCCTTGTTACGTTGACGTTTTTGTTCTGATAAAAACTTTTTTAATATGGACATCTTTTAAATCATATTTAACTAAATAAATCTATTAAATAGCTTAAAATTGAATACAAACTAAATTTAATAATATCGAGTTTCTGACAAATAAATTTTGTTCAGTTACAATATCTTCTTGATGTAAATTTAATTAAACACAGAAAGGAAATTGCAGTTGGATAAATAGTTGTGATGACATTCACAGGAATAAACAGTTTACCAAGATCTATTACCCGCCAGTTTTTTTCTATCGGGTGACATTTATCTTCAAGCTAATACATAGTTTCTGTTGTTGGTATTCATGCCAAAACGGTTGTCCTTGGGCGCCAGTCAACAAAAAATATCTTACGGCTATTTAAGTCTTATCAACAGGTTGTTTTTGTTCGACCAATTTCGAACATGAAGATAAGGGTACCTTTTAACTGTATAATAATAAGTTAAGGTAGCACTTAGGTTACCATTAAACAAACTTGAATTTATTTTGAAGCAGGCTTTGACAAATGGTGGGACATTTATGATGGGTGAATGTTTTGCTTTTGTTTTTCGTGATGTTAGTTTGTCACAGTCATTACGCACATCCGTCGCTAAGATGCACTTGCGTGGGGCAATTTAATTAACCAATTATAATTCAGTTGGCATTTTGACGTCATCGTCTGAGGTCAATTCTTTTCATTAAAATTAATTATCATTAAGGGAAGATATTTCTAGAATAACCAATACTAATGCAGGCTTAAAATCTCTGTATAAACTTAGGGAAATACAACTTGATACAAGATTGAGATTTTGAAAACATTTTATAATAGTTGGTTATTGGTATCCAAACCGAATTTACATTAAATGAGAAGGAAATCCGTAGTTCCTCTATATTAGTGAACTTAGATTGACCCACAAGTATTCATAAAGACTACATATTAAATTATACGGAGGGTTCACAACAATCGGCGTTGAACATTTACCAATCAACCAGATTGGAGCATATCGTGCGAACGCGTTATAATAGGAGGATATTATAATAAACAGATCCCGGTCCCCTCGTGTTCACTCCGCCCTCCCTAATAAATATTAATGTATGAACTTCAATGCTTCACAATGTCCAAGTGATGCTGGTACATTGACACTCAATTTGCTTTTTTGCAGCCAATTGCGTGTCGACACCTTTCGCCAGAACCTTTAATATGCTAATATTTCAGATAAATATGATCTTCACATTTAACACTAATCTAAATATTTACTTTTTGTATCTAAAACAAAGCGATGAATGTTCATTCATCTGGGATGGGACCAACGATTTTCGTTGGTTAGTTTTGGAATGTTTATTACAAAAATAAACAGATTGAGTCATTGTTGGGAACAAACGTGGGGAACATTAATTGCGTGACATAGGTGCAAACTGATTTTCCCACTCTTCCCACACATGGGTGTCTGTCTATTTATCTATAATATGTATGTATTTAGAAATAGTGAGATAGTTTAGTTAAAAACATAAAATGTGATGGCAATAGATCTCAACAGATACAAAGACCACTACAACGAAGTATTCCATTATTTACTGTTGATTATGAGGGTTTGTTTAATGTTATTATGATGTTTTTTTTTCTTTTAAAGGACTACTCCCGCACTAGGAATAAATCCTGTGTCGCAGGGGATTTTTCATACATACATATATGAAACGGACGTACATGAAACGATTTGTGTTCGTTTCAACGCCCGCCCTTGAACGCCCAGACTCAGAACAACAATTTGTTGATACAAGTGTTGTCGCATGTGGGAATCGAACCCACAACACTCAGCGCAGTAGGAAGCAGCGAGGTGACCGCTTAAACCAATACGCCATCCGTGCAATTTTAAGCCTTTTTGAAGACAAGTCATCGATTAAATCTGAAGTAAATTAAAATTTTACTTATATAAGTCTATACTAATAGCCGTAAAATTAATTATTTAATTAAGAATCAATATATCTGAGTAGTAGTACCCATTATGATACTATGAATAAATAAGTATCAGAGTCTTCTATGATAGATAATAATGTTATTGTCGGGTTATGTCTATTCGCCATAATATAAAAAAACCCAAAATGTCATAATTCTAAACTTATACTGAACTATTAAAAGTCTAAACATAGAAGGTTCGGATTTAACCTCATTTAAAAAAAAAGAAAGTTTCTAAGCATAGGCATAAACGAATGAAGTCGTAAACGAGCACTGAAATTAAAATAATTGTTTGACTATTAAACGTTTTAAAAAAGATGTATTTCGGAATCAGATTGGAATTCAGTCAGTTTATATATATGTATATTAAAATTTAAAAGGTATTTAAACCTGATAAACGAAATAAGTTATGAATTTGTCAAAAGTTTGGTGCTTAAATTTTGCAGCTGAATAAGAAATTCAGCACAAATCGGTTATGCTTAATCGTTTATGTTATGCTTAATAGCGTGATTATAAATATACCTACGACTGCACGGATGGCCTAGTGGTTTAAGCGGTCACAAAATAAATAAAACAATTTATCACACGTTCAGATTGCAAGTATTTTCATTACAATTACCTATATACTATGTAAATATTTGCCTACTTAGTTTTGTAAAAAATCATCGTATATATTGCGAAAGACAAAAATATTAAAAGATAAACGAAAACGCACCGTTTGGAAATCCAATATCTAAAAATCAATAAAAGAGTACATCGGTCATGTCAAGGGTATTATTGTGTAAGCGCACCCCATTTAACCGGAAAGGTCACACATAGGGTTGACGAGAACAGTTTCCACATGGATTTCCCACGCCATCGCCACCCCAACTAGGAAACCATACTTGTTGATTTTTGTTCCGTAATCGAGCCCCCATTTGACAACATTTCCGGACATCCATTAACAATAACAATTATTTTGTTCTAATGTTATTACTTGTTGACATCGGCGACATCGATTAGGAATGAAACTGAAGTGGGGCGAGGAGTGACACGCTCTTAATGAGCTAGTTCGTAGTCACTTGTAATTTACCTAGTCACAATGAGGTATATGGTGTAAACTTATATGATAGCATGTTAGCATTCAATGGCCATGTATGTAGATAATTAACGAATCCTCTACGTTCTAAAATAATTCACAATATTTCATTGTTTATGCGCTTAAGCTTATTGAAAAAGGATGGCTTATCAACAAAGTGCAAAGTATATCTAAAACACTTATATCATTGGTCAATAACACATCAGTCGTGCCTTTAAGGTGACACTATGAATTCCGAAAATGCCCACAGCCTAATGTAATAAAAAGAATGTGTATAGAATAATTTAATAATAAATACGAGTATTAATAACAGCTTGTATATTTTTTAAGTATGGCAACCTAAAATTATAGAAATGAAACGCCTGCCTGGTAAGTAATGATAAATAAGCGTAGGTGCATATCTCAGGAGTGCAATACTCAAGTGCTCATTAATGTCAAAGTTCAGTTCAGGCAGTAGAAAGAAGTGGTATATAATTTTAAAAACTAAACTAGAAAATCTTTTAAATGAATGCTGAATGTTCCACAACATTCCACAAAGCGGGTAGTTATCATAAAAATGTCTTAGCATTCGTTAATCATGGAATTTGAATAATATCGAATGTTAATAACATTGGTCATGCGATTGCTAATGTTTTGGAAATAACTTGGGCTTTGTTAGCAAATTGGTGAGGCGCGATTTCGCCGCAGGTCAGGATTGTTATCTCCAGATGAGTGATGGACGCCAAGCGAATATTGGATACTTATTGGACTTTATTATCTATATTATTGTCTCTGCCTGTTTTTCGTATTTATATGTTTAATCTCACTTAATAAAAATAACTAAATTTTTTTAACGCATAATACATGTAAAATAACTATATATTAGGATGCCTGCTAGCCTGTTATTTAAATACTGAGAATTCCTGAGATCTGCACGCGATATTATAAAAAAAAATGTATTTTGGTACTGGCACATATTATGTACCTACTTATTTAGCGATATAATATTGAAGTCGATTCTACTCTGCCCTTATTTTGAAGGCGGTTGGTTGATATAAGTATAATTAAGTTATGTCAGTATTTTAATAATTAAAACTCATAGCTTGTATTTTTTCACTGTTTGCCGAGTTCAAGTTTACAATAATAAAAAGTTTTCTCGTTAGAGGCTCAACTTTGTTTTTTAAACACAGTAAAACGTTAATATGAAATAAAATAAAAAATATGCAAAACAATTTATACTTTCGAAATCAACATACCTGCCAGTCCAGTCGCACTGATCACCCATCATGCCAGCCTCCGCGTACCGTATTACTCCCAAAACAAAAGTCCAAAATAACAGCCACATCTCCACAATTACGTGCAATATAATACTTAAAATAAATTTATTATAAAAGTGTCACTTCTCCAATCACATCACTCCTTTAATCAATTTATGTACATTCCATAGTTTTTAAATTTTATAAAAGTAAACAAACTTTCGACCCTTATCGCAACAAACGACAACTCTTCCTGAACTCAGAAACTTGACTAGTGCAATGACAGAGACAGCGCCTCTGTCTCGACAAATCACAATATTGAAAGAAAGAGATGGATATAACAACAACACTTCAACCCAATAGAATGGTTCTTTAAAAAAGTTTTTGAATATAACCTTTGTGCTCACCAGTTTAGAGTAGAAAATGAACTAAGTTTTACAATGGCTAAATAGTAGCCCCATAACTTTAGGAATTGGCGGGAAAGGACATACTACAATGCCCGATAGATGTAAAATAAATGAATTTCTGTTTTAGAGTTTTAAATCTCATATTACACTTCGCTTTAAACCACTTACTTTAACAACAAAGTCTTTTATACATATTATTATAATCTTGACGGGCCTGTTGGTCTAGTCTAGGAATTCGTGGGTTCGATTCCCACCCAAGACAAATATTGTGTGATGATCACGGTCATTTGTTTTGTGTCTGATTGTAATTTATCTATAATATGTATCTATTTAAAAATATATAAGTATGTTTATCAGCAGTCTGGTTACCGTACCGTACCATAGTACCGGCACCGTACACACCGTATCATAATACAGGCTCTGCCTAGTTTGGGATCAGACGGCCGTATGTGAGATGGAGATATATTATTATTATTATCTTCAAATTTGTCGGCAAGCCGACAAGTAAAACCATCACTGTCATAATTTTATGAGTCTATACTTACCTACTATAAATCAAAATCTGACTTTATATCTTTCTATCAAATTATAACTTTTTGATTCGTAAATATGGTATGCTATTTAATATCACAGGTAGTGCCGAATTAATTTAGCAATGATAATCTTCAAGTTAAAATGTATAAAATATAAAATCTCGAAAGTAATAATTACCTGCCCTTTTTATGGCCATGACTTGGCGCATCGCTACATTTTTTTAAGTGTTAAGGCTTACCTCCCTTATCTTTTGGAATGAAACTGCACACTGCAATACTAGCAATTAATACCAAATTTCAATAATAACACTTTTTGCTTATAATTTCAGTTCAGTCACTATATCATATAATTTTTTCCTTAAACATAGACTACGCTTCTTGTTTTTTTGAGGAACATAAATAAAATTAAGTTATTAGACAGATTATTATCAATCCTTAGAAGAGCACTTTTTGCGACTTGTAAGAGATAAGCAAGGAAAGTAAACTTACAGAAAGAGAAAGATTTATCATATGTATCTAAACGCACTTCTCAACTTCGGCTATAACTCCGTTATGATGCTCACAAAGCTTATTTATCTTATTAAAACTTATTTTAGAACTTGATAATAGTCCACGGTTTCGTTGAAGTCATACAGGCCGCGCGCGTACTTTGTTTGCGAACAGATAAACTAAATCAATATCGTTGTTTACCCGACCTATAGATAGTCGCATTGTCGCCATTGACATCTATGATTGTTTAGGACGATGAGTCGTCCCTCTATCACTTTAACGCAAAATGAGATAGGAATTATACATATGTATACCTACTATTTCTATATGAAATGTATATAGATCACTTCACTTGAAACAGACTTTTAAAGTGGGAACTAACGTACATAATGTTTTATAAATTAAGTCTAGAAAATTATTCCCCAGGTAAATCAAAGACGGGCACAATGCAATCGAAATCGTTTAACTATAAATTTTCAAGGTGTACAAAAGAGAGAGTTCCTCGATTAAACAGACATCTATATACGATTTTGGCGCAATATTATCTTTACGAGAGTACGAGATCTTTACGAGAGTACGTTAGAAAACTCCAATTCAGATTCAGCTTCATTCCATTTACATTCTTTTTATAAAAAAATACATCTCAGCATGCATTTTACACTCATAATTGACAATGGTTGGGAGTTCATTGTTCATCAGTTCATTTTAACACTTTTTTCCGTTGTTGAGTTGTATCATATGTGTAACGAATACTACTAGTGAGTCAACTCCTTCAATAGATCGCTCAATACCTACAAGACTGCTTCGACTAAAAATGTGGATCAGGATCAGGATCGTAGGTAGTTAGGTGAAAATAGTACTTGCCTAATTTAACTACATTTGACCTAACCTACCTTAACTACCTTAAATTTTACCTATACAGTATCTCGGGTTCCTATTCCTTTTAAAATATTGGATAAAAGTTTGAACAAATAATTAAACAATATTTTATTTCGTTCCTTGATTTCAGCTGGTGAAAATTTAATGAAAAAATAAAAAAGAAAAGAAAAGAAAGAAAGAAAAGAAAAAATGAAAAAGATTTTGGTAAAATTGACTTCTTACAACCGTGTGAGTGATGCAGCTTTCCTTCAAGATATTAGAAAAAATATATGTAATTAATATAAGTAGTTATATTTATTAATTTTATTTATTATATCTACATAATAAAATTAATAAATGTACGTGATGTGTGTGACGGATAAAGAACACGGAGCGTCACTATGGGCGTAGCCACAGTGGGGCAAGGTGAGGCGTTTGCCCCACCTTCCACCCTGATTTACTCCCGTTTTTTTATAAAACATTTCATGAAGTACAGGTTCCAATGCAACACCGAGTTTTTATTTTATCATATTATGAAGACACAACAATTTTGGTGTTCTATATAAAAGAAGATAAAGGTAAAATATTGCAAAAGGAAACATTCGGTGATGCAACTTTCAGTTGCCCCCCTCCATTAGTACCACTATGCTATTACTATACACACTGAATTAGGCAGTAAGTACTGCTATTGGTCCACATGGTTTGAAAACAGTTGTTCCCGGATCCCTCATATTTTTGACGCAGAATGGCACACTGTGTGGTTTTAGCCGGTTCGATTCAGTCATACCGCCTATCACAAACTCTGGTGGGTTGATGGCCCGCGGGGGTATTGGTATTGGTTGTGGGTCCCAGTTTTCGCATTTAGACTCAAGAATGGTCCTTTATCCGCTGAGGAAAAGTTGGGTAGGTGAGCCAACCAAGCTCCTTCCAGAAGCGCAGAAGTCTCCTGGGGCTTTCACAGCCTTCTAGGAGCGATTCTGTATTAGGTATGATATCCTGTTGAGTAGCCAATCTCTCGCATTCCAGGATTACGTGGGCGGTCGCTTCTTATCCAAAGAAGACTGTCCGTTGCATTAATGGTGAATAGTTGCCGGTTCAAGGGTGTCCCGTTATAGTTCTTACAGCTATTGGGATGCCTAGTCTGCTAAGAATCATTAATCTGCAAGTAAGTCGTTTGTTGTGGTGAGATTTCAGTCAGCAACCGTGTGGACTGTCTGCAGCCAGCAGAGTTTTTCCACCTCTAGTTGAGTGCTTCACAAGTACGTTGTCTAGCCCAGGAACTAAGCTGCTTAAAAGGCAGTGGCAGAAGTACGATTGGGCCGACTGCCGAAGTTGCCACTTCTGTGTGAACTAATAGTAATGCTGTGCATTTCCTATTTATTTACTATTAGTTCACACAGAAAAGACACAGGAATGATGCCAAAGGGCATAATTACATACATTAAAGGAGTATCATATTTGTTGTGGCAAGCTAAGTTTATTGTGTTGCCCTCCGCTGCTCTTAGAACTGCCATGCTGTCTGACAGTATACGAATGTTATATCCTTAATACCCTTTGACATGACTGTTGTGGCGGCGTAAGTTATTGCCTCGCATTCGCATTGAAATAAGGAACTATGTTGGCCTAACGCTACTGATAAGTTTAGGTCTTATACATTCATCCGTATGCGAACTTCGTTTATACCAGATTGATCTCGGTCATTTTTCATGTATCTTTCATGAAGGTATTGTATTTTGCGTAATGCAGCAACAGCAACAACAGTCTTGCAAAGAGAAGGAAAATTTAAAACAAGCTCTAAGGGCGACAACGAACTTCTGACTGTTGCAAGTTTCCATGGCGGCGGTAGTCACTTACCATCAGGTGACCCGTCTACTCATTTACTTCAGAAAAAAGGTAACACAATATAACCTAAATAATTTGGAGCAATGTGGAGTAGTGTCGTAAAGAAGAATACAACCTTCTGCTAAAGCTGTCATTTTTATATTGTGAGTTTTGTCAGTTAAGATACGTTCCTGTGTCTGATTTCTGAAATAAACTTATGTCAATGTTATTACACATGCACATTATTGTACATTGCGTGGTTTGAAAATAAAGCATACCATTTATGTTACGAGTATATTTTAAACTTTATGTGTAATCCATTGTTTAAACTAGTGAAATGACAAAGCACTATTGTAGCACTTTCTAGTAGAGCATTGTTCATAAGTTACAAACGTAAACATGACTAGTCATCGGATATGATCTGACTTATATATAAAAGAAATATAATTTAACCTCTTTTAGTCTCGTTTATTCCCTTGACATGTTTGAGTGGAAATTCGTGATAATGTGGTTAAGTCTCTATTCAGGATTGGTTTATCCATATGAAACAACACGGTCTGATAACTGTTTATGGCATAATTACTCTTGTAAGTATTAGCAACGATACATGAATAATATAGTACCTACCTATATAAGAATAATATAATAATAACAAACACAGAACCAATACAATTGTACGACGTAATAGCAAGTACAAGTCAAGTTTAGCGCATTACAAATTGGTAGTGTATTCCTACTCGCTGTTTCTTTTGTAATGTATAAGTATAAGTAATGTATAACATCCACTTACGATCGTAGTTCTCAAACAGCGAAAATACTGCAGAGCATTGCTTTTGTACTAAATCTCCTGAATGGCAAAATTTCATCTTCAATTATTCTGCGTCAGATGAAAAATCAGCAAGAAAAGTTACTGCAGGCAGTAATAATAACTGTCAAATAACCATTTTAAATGGCGCGTATAAGCAACTCCCTTTTTTCTGTGCGGAAATCCCCTCGGATACCACCCACCGGTGGCTATGTCGGACTCGAACCGACTAAAAACTGCACGCCGTCTCTGGTACCAGTTGCCGGGGAACCAGGTGTACCCTAGAAAGGAAAGCCCTGGTACCTCGACCTACCTCGGGCCATCTACGGCGGATAGATGACCCCCTCCTGTGTGGGAAACCCCCTGGTTCCCTTTGTGCTCCGAAAAGGGCGCGCGCGCTCCGCAACGCGTACCCTGGCCTGCTTCCGCTAGGGTGACAGATGGCCTTACCTGCCACCCCCAGGCTTGCGCTTATGGAGGACGGAGGTCGTTCTGCGACCTCCGACGCCTGAGCCCGTTCCCGAGCTTGGCGGGCCGGGAGAGTTCTAAATCTCTCCCGGTCCCGCTCCGCCATCTCCTTCGCAAGCATAACTTGCTCGCAGAAGGAGACGGCAGAGTTCCACGCACACTCGCTCCGCACCAATGCCGCAATTATGTTTTCGAGCGAGAGAACTCCCACTCCGATGACCGCCACTATTTAACTATAAAGCCTAAGACAAATTAAGCCCAAAGAAGTTTACCCTGACATAGTGTAATGAAAAGTAATCAAGCGTTAGATTGTAGTCCTTTAGTCTTTTGAAATATAATGGCTCATTATCACAACAGAAGTCATTCAGTTTTTGACAGCAGTTAATAAGGTAACAGACATGTTGTTTACCGGTTCCCGCAGTATGAAATTAATTTACCTAACTACGGTTTATTTGCATTTTTAGGTGTTGAAACGTGTCCTGACTGGATGATTGTAGTGAAGAGCGACTGTACAAAATCTTATTGGTTGGCTCAAAGAACGTGTGATAACCCACAGGAGATGTTAGTTGGCACTGTCTGCGGCTTTTCGAGATGTGATTGCCCGGACCCTACGGTACTGGACACCGATACGGGCGTATGTTATGATGTGGACAACTGTCCGACAAAACATATATAAGTTTACATACGTACATTTTTTAAAGACATAGCAAACTGAGGGTAAAAAATAATTAAATGAAAATAAAGTATTGTACTTAAATTTTAAACGTCTATTTTTTCTTATTCTTGGCAAAATGGAATTGCCACAGATGCCATGTTGATGATGATGATATGATACATACTCTTCTTGTCCTGCGGCAAAGGTGATTACGTAAAATAGTTTAAGAACAGACTAAATAAGCGCTGATGCGTCTTTTATTACAGTATAAGTACTGCCCTAAACCTTATTCTTTGTCTTGAAAATGAGTCAACGGAATCGTATGCTAGCACTATATTTAAATTAGGTAGCGATTATATTTATCAACAGTATTTAATTTATTTTAAGAATACGTTTATATTATAGCAATACCGAACAACTGACTTACAATATTTATATGTACTTAAAATAGATCTCATAACATTTTGCGGCAGATAAACTGCGTTGCCAGACTCGGGTTTTTCACGTACATATTACGAGTATGCTTTTGGTGTTTTTTTTTATCCATAGTTACTTTTTTAAAGGGAATTTCCTTAGTCTATGACACTTTACCTACCTGTATCCACTATTTACCTACTTATCTAACTGTCTCCTTAGTTCAATAAAATCGTTGAACTGCTAAATCCTACATAATTAATAAGCCATTTAATAAAAAATACAAAATTTAAGATGGCATTAAATTACAATACATAATCATTATCAACAGCCTTCAATAGGATGCCTAAGGAGACCCCTGAAATACAAATATAAATTACAAATGCCGTCAAAACCAATCTTGATAATAATAATAGGTTATAAAGATTTGAACCGTAGTGGGATTTCCGGCAGAACTTAAACATGGTAATTTTTTTGCTGAAATAATAATCATATTTTGTTTGTAAATGCAACATAAGTATAACAATAATAAACATTACCTAGATTTGTGAGAACTGGTGCCCTAGACAGATATAGGAATATCTTCGTCTTCAAAAACCTCTTCATCTTCCAATATGTGGAAGTTTCTTGGTACATTGGGTATTGGTGAAAGACAGCGACCTGAGATAAGCATGATAATTGGTTTAGATGATATCAATCGTCACTTCTTATCCGCACCTCAGTTGCATCATCAAACCACGAGTCAAACCTTGAACTATATTGCTGGTCAACCCAACCCAACATTGCATCCTTTAACTTATCTCCGGCGTGCTCCTAGGCCATCGAAAACATCATCCTGTCTATTCATTCCAATACTATGGGTTGTGACGGCACTAGACGTCGGATGATTGTCACTATCCTGGATCAAATTCTTCCTGCAATAGCCGATATTCTTAACTTTTCCCTTGACTCCGGAACTTTTCCCTAAACCTGGCGTAAGGCCTTCATAAGCCCCTTGCCAAAACAAGTAACGCCTAAATGACCAGTGAATATTCAGTCAACAAATAATATGCTTCTTCTTAGCCCCCCTTACAATTCCAACTTTTTAAATTCTTGCTTCTGTGTACAGTCAGTTCTTTTCGGGAATAGGCAATTGAAATCAGAATGTCCACTAACCGCTTTACGTTCAAGAAAAGAGTACAAGATCTTCTCCAAAATAAGTTGGCAGAAAGGTCACAACGCTAATACCGACTGTGTATTTTTGATATTAATGTATGTGTATACTTGGGACCTCTATGTTTATATGTAGCAATGAATATAATATTTAATTTATCTAAGTATATTATGCCTAAGTTAGTTTACATTAAATTTATACAAAAAAAATATGTTAATTCTTTATGCACAAGTATGAGTTGTACAACGGCGGCATAAATAAGTTATTATAAATAAACTAGCTGACACGGCAAACTTCGTACTGCCATAAAATTAATAAATTAGGTGACAAATTTGGTGACATACCGACAGCAGCGCCACTAACCGGGTCCAATTGTGTTTTCAAACCATCCACAAACCCATTTAAATATAATATACACTATATAACACACAAATAGTTATTCAAATCGGTCCAGGCGTTTAGGGGGAGTTTACAAACACAAATACATTAAGAGCGTACTCCTTCCTAAAAGGCCGGCAACGTGTTAGTGACTCCAGAGTTGTAGACGTTCATGGGCGGCGATGGCCACATTCCATCAGGTTTCCATATGCTCGTCTGCCCTATATAACATTAAAAAAATATATATACAGAAGAATTATATAAATTCAGATAAAGAAAATATCTGTGTTACGGATCGCCTGGCCCCCAGTACTCAAAGATGAACTTGTGATACACACAGTGTGATGAGTATAAACAATATGAAACTAAATATGAGAAAATGTGTTCGTGTGAGTTCGTGCATGTGTAGCCGCGTTTTATGGGTTTTGTCAAATGCTATGTGCTTACACAATTGACTGTCCTAGACCAGCGGTTTGTTATCAATAAACTCTCCATTCCAGCGTAGTCAAGTTTTGAGCTAGTAAGATACGGAGATTTTACAATCTGTCCTAAACGAAGGATATATTGCGAGTGAAGTGATCACATTATTATACAGATACCCACCAAGAAAATAATAAATCCAATCCAAACGCGTCGCCATGCACCGCATTGCATGTCACCTATAGTCTGTCAAGAAAGTCATGAAAAAATTGAGGGCGCCACTGCCGTTCTACCTGGTATCCCTGTATGCCTCGACAAAAAAAGTTTTAGCATTAGATTTTTACATCAAAAAGTAATGTCTGTAAAATTTGAAAGTATTGCATTGTCGAAAATTTATTTTCTATTGTAAACGCCTGCTTCCTAGCCAATAATTAAAATTAGTCATCATCTGTTTTTTCGCAGTCTATATCGTCATTACGCAAGATTTGAAAATCTGGTAACTTTATTTCTATTAGTGTAGGGAATAATACTGTACTCTGTGGCGGCAACCAACGGCAACACTGTTAATAAGTTGTCATCAATCAAAGTCGAATGAAAAATTTTGTATTTTTGTAATCGGGAGTCGGCAATGGCATTGGTTTTACAATTTTAATAGATATCTGAAATAAAAGAGTGTTTACCAAAATGATGCAATTCTGCTTTAGAAATACTCTTAATCCGAAAACAGTGCTCTTTCAGTCTCTTGTATATAAAGAAATCACCTCAAAGTTTAAAAGTATTAGCAGTTGTCACAATATAACCAGGCACTATGCAATAAAATTAAAGGAGCCGGAAAATAAACTAGAATGCATATACTATGGAACTTTAACGCCTCAAATCAAAAGTGTAAAAATCTTTTCGTTAAGTTCAAGCATGGCAGGTTTGCTAGCACAACCTATAATTATAAGAGAAGCAACTACTATAGGAAGTACATCTTTACTCGTAGCAATTTGTTCAGTGGTCGGTTTCTTCACGTTCGTGACACCGTTACTGCTGCATTTAGTAACAAAAAAGTATGTCACAGAAATACATTATGAACCAGAGACATCCACATATAAAGCCACCACTATCAACTTCTTTTTAGCCAGAAAACAGGTAAGTTTGTATTTACGTTTATTAGGGTTACACAAAAAGTTACCAGTTTTTTTTAATATAACCACCCTAAATTACAATTTCATTTCTCACAAATATTTTTTTGTAGCAAGTATCAGATTGTTACTTACTTTTAATGGAAACCTTGTCTTTTTATTCTCTTTTTTGAGATAGTAAATTGCAACAAAGTTGAGTTTTAATTTGATTGCACGCATGGCGTAGTGGTTGAAGCGGTCGCCACGCCACTTCCTACTACGCCGAGTGTTGTGGGTTCAAACCCCACATGGGACTACACTTTGTGTGATCAACAAATTGTTGTTCTGAGTTTGGTCTTTGTGTCCATTTCACACAGGATATATTCCTAATGCGTTAGTTGTTTCTTTAAAAAAACAAAAAAAATAATTGATGGGCTTGTTAATTAATGGGCGGAAGTCTTACGTTCCAGTCCCACCTAGTAGAAATACTGTACTATGAACATGATCATTTGTTCTGTGTCTGGGTGTAATTTATCTATAATATATATGTATTTAGTAATATATATATAGGTATATATAATGTATGTTTATCAACAGTCAGATTACCATAGCAAAGGCTCTGACTAATTTAGGATCAGATGGCTGTGTCCTTATGTCATAATTGCACATTTGCATGCATTTTTTTACCTTGCACACTTTTGTTTAGAAAAGATTATTAATGTTAAATGGACTAATTAGTATATTGTCTATGCTTAGTATAAATTATAGTACAGAGTATGAATGAAAGTAATTATAGAGAGAACATGAGCCCCAATATTGCAATACAGGCAATAAGAGAGATGGATAATAGATAGTCCCCTCTATCACTATTCTAGTCGAGCTCTGTGGTTGGCTGGGGAATATGAGGGTTTAATAAATAGCAAATCGCAGCTTAGCTAAACAGAGAAAGAGGGAAATATCGGGTATTCATCTCTTTCGTTGTACCCTGTGTTCTCTATATCTATCTCTATAAAAGTAATTTTTAAGTTTTGTCTTGTTGTATCTATTCCACATTAAATAATAAAAAATAATAATAATAATATTGTACCACATTCACACAACGCCATTTAGTCCCAAACTAAGCAGAGCTTGTACTATGGGTACTAGACAACTGATATGAATACATACATACTTTTTTTTTCGTAAATACATACTTATTATACATAGAAACACCCAGACCAAATCAAACATTAAATGTTCATGCACATAAATGTTTGACTTGAGCGGGAATCGAACCCGCGACCTTTGGAATAGCAGTCCATTACACAAACCACTACGCTATTCGGTCGTCAAATATATATGATATTAATGATTATTATTATTTTTTTGAAAAGTATTACAAAGAAGATAATAAATTTAATGAAACTAGTTATGACATTATGTACTGTCTTTACATGGATACAATAATCTTAATGGCTCAATTATTGTCCTCCATTTCAACAACTGCATACTATTATACATTCATTCATACATTTTAACAACTTTTTTTATGTGACCATATTATCCGTGTAGTGACGGATTAAGAATACGGAATGTCACTACCCCAATTCATCCCGTGGGTGTCGTAAGAACCGACTAAGGGCGTAAAACAACGCAGGACACCAGCACTGCAAAAAGACGGAAAACTTGACACAAACCCTATACCAACCCGCCTGGCCAGCGTGGTATAGTAGGCTAAAACCTTCTTTCTAAGGAGAGGCCTATGTCCAGCAGTGGACTATTAAAGGCTGTTGATGATGATGATGATGATGATGATGATTATCCAAAGGATTGGAATGAATAATTAAATTTATTTTACTATTTCCAGCTTGAATTCAAGACAGATGATGTAGTAGTACCTGATGTTCCGGGTATGTTTACTACAATGCATGCAAAGGGCACTCCACTTTTCATAGAAGCCAGACACTTCACTGATCCCTTACACTATGCTAAAATCATGGGTTATGACAAACCTATGGATTTTAAACTTGGAGAACAAGACAGTAGTGACAGCAATAAACAATAGTTAACAATATTTGTTATTCAAATTATTTATTTACCTAGTTGTGAATGTTGAGCAATAAATAGATATCAATGTTTATTATTATTTTTATTGAGTTGAAAACAAATGATCTATCCATCATTGTAACATTGCACAATATAGGACAACTACTTGTACTATGAGTGCATACCAGTGTTTTGCGAATATCAGCATATGCGGATAATCAGCATTGTTTTTAATGTCAGCATCAACAACCGCAACAATCAATACTGATTTTAATGCTGACATTCAAGTCGTTACGTGTTCGTTGAAAATGGGACTTAGAGCTAGAGTTTTAACAAATTGAGTTGCCATATGAACATCTGTGGCAATCGTTATGGGTAGTTGAGTGCTAAATAGTGAGACAACAGTCTTTCTACAGAACTTCGATGTTGCCTACTTATGTTGTGAAGAGCTGATGTACAGAACTTAATAGAATGACGTGTAAGCTAATATAATAATAAATAGCAAGAAAAAGCAATGTATTGTTGTAGATTAAAATAGGCAACCATTGTTAAACAAGATAGGTTACTAGGTAAAATAATTCCCATGTTCGACCCTAGATTTTTTTTTTTTTTTTTTATTTATTTATTTACATAACTACACAATTAGGTAAATGTAGGCAAACCTTAAACCACTGGGGTTTATGCGGCATGCCGGCGTGATGGCGGCGTGATGATGGCGACATGATGGCGTTAGTGTCGAATTGAATCGCGTTATCGTTTGTCTACAACCATTGTATTTAAGCATACACCACAGATTAAGAGATATGTACATAGTACAATACAATAGCAATACAATACAATGGCATACACAATACGTTTAATAAATATCTTGCTCTGAGGTACTGAAGTTTGCTTTTAACGGGTATCACTGGAATCTAGGCACTTTGTACCGATATTGTACAGCTGATGTTAGTCGCTCCGCATAAAAATATCGAAGTACAGCTATATCGTAGTAAACTTATAGCCGACCCCAACCTAGTTTTAGAAAAAGACTGAGGAAGATTGAGTTTTGTGAAGATGGTAGGTAATTAATCATTATTAAAATAAAACGAATACAATTTTACATTAATTAAACCACGAAACAGTCATCGAGGGTCAGAGATGATGCTGTTAGTTAAAAGTACACTATAATATAAAAGTAAGTAGTAAAATTCCTGTTGGAAAATTTAGAGTTGAAGACTTGCACAAGGGTATTGGCCAGTGCCTGCGGGTTTGTGAAGGGTTTTATGCTTGTTCACCACTTCGGTATTTTATAAAATTAACACAACAACATTCAAATTAAATTGCAAGCTCAATTATAAATAATATTATTTACTTTATAAATGTTGGTTTGTGTACCTTTCAAAACCTCAAAAAAGTTCTGCACTGATTGAACTCAAATTTTGACACCACCTAAAACACGCTTCAAGGATTGTTTTATCTTTTTTGCGTCAATTATGTTCCTCATTTCTTATTAATGCAATCGCAATGTGCCACGCTTATAGTACTGTATATTATTTGCTGTAGAGAAAAGCTAATAATACTCAATTCCTCTGATAGACGTTTTTTTAATATCCTAATGTTAATATTATACGCCAAGAAATGATAACTCAGTTATTTATTAATAAAATATTTTATTTCACAATAAGATATTTTTAGATAACATTATAGAAACTAAGACTAGAATTTAACATTAACCGAATAACATATTATACATTTTCATATACAAAAGTTAAAATGAGTTAAAAGCAACAATTGTAGAAATATTCTTACAAATATATACAGGGTTACTGAAGAAATGCACCTTACTTTCTGAGACAAATTTATAAACTGAAGTAAAATATGGGGCTTTTCATCTGACTTTCATAGTAGTGCCAATAAATAATAAAAAATAATGGACATAAAAAAAGTTAATAGACTGAAAATCAAAATGGAAGAAAATAAATGAAATATAAGAACACCTCTAAGAAACTACATACACGAGGGAGACTACGGGAACATTGTAATAGATGAAAATTTAGTAACTTTTAAACTTTCGCGTTCCATGATAATTAATATTATTTAACGGGAATTAACGCGATCTCTTATTTAGGGTATTACATACAGGTTGCACCGGCCGTGGTCACAGGCTGACTGTGCCAGGTGACCACGGCCGGTGCAACCTGGTCGAAACGTCAGGCAAACCAGAGGTATGTAATACCCTAAATAAGAGATCGCGTTAATTCCCGTTAAATAATATTAATGAAAATTTAGGTTTCATGTTCCATCTAATAACAACTGTCCCTTCTGTATTTAAATGTTGGCAACACTAATAGTGTAACAATTATACGCGAGGGGTAGTAGGCGGGAATTTGAACTGAAAGGTTCAAATTCCCGCCTAGAATTCAAAAAATTAAGACTTGGCTTAAAGGTCTTGTTACCAGGCCATAAAATTACAACATCAAATTATACGCGAATTACATAATTTGCAAGATCACACAATACACTTACAGTAGAACAAAATAATGTACACGGAGTTTCTATCTTTAAAACAAAGAAAAACAAAAATCTGGGCGTAAAATTAACATAAACTTCTAGTGTTGTGACTACAAGTTTTGTAGAAAACATAAAATTCCTACGTAATTAGATTCGTTATTTGTAATTTGGAACAAGAAAAGTATACAAGTTTATTATTATAAATTGAAATCCCCTGATTAGCAAGTGACAATTTAGGATCAAAAATCAATTGTCTTTGATACAGTTAGGTATATATTTTTAACTTATTCCCTGTTTCGTTATATTTTCCTTAAAAATAATTTATCTTACACATAGTAGTTACAATCCATACTATCTTGTAAATAGCTATGAAAGTAACCATAGCTCTTTGAAACAGTTACAGCATCGTATCAATTGTTATTATTATATTATTACTATTAAGTTAATGTACCTGCGGTCCTAACATGGAATATCATTTGTTGCTTTACACTCTCACAACACTCTACAAAGCGTTTAAAATTGGAATTTCACGAGTTACGTAAGCTTCAAGTCAAACTATTTATATTATAAAAATATATTTAGGTATGTTTTTTCAGTTGACGCTTTAGTTAAGATCGAATATAAAAAAGTAAATATGGCTCATTTATTACCTATTTATTAGAATTTTATAAGTTTTGAATTAAAACCTTGGACTTGTCCTTAGTAGTAGTGATAAGGATCAGATCACATGATGCATTAGAGAAGAATCGAATCGTTCTTAATACTAAATAATTTCAAACAAACCTTAAATAACATATTTAATAATACTTTCCAATAAAAAATCTAAGGAATGTGTTTAAAATATCAAGACGAGTATCTATCTTCTTTATATATACATAATACATTTTATCATCTTTATGCAGTCGGTTCATTTCATTGCACTACTAAGTACTCCTTATTACAATATATTTTAAAAGTTTTTATAGGTACCTGTTCTTAACACTAACTTGTTTATTATTTTTCTGATACTTTTAAAAATTATAGTCATGTAATTTTTCTTCATATTGGACATTCTAATTGACTAATAAAACTTTTAATTACTAATTGTGTAAAAATAGAGACATTTTCTCCTGACGTCTAGTGATGTTTTGATGTCACATAACGGTAAATTCAACTACACCTTGTCCAAATACAAAACAAGTGCAAATTCAATAATTTACATTCTTCGATAACAGTCCTCATTACACTCGGAGATGGATATAGAACGCATCGGCAAGACGAGCACTCCATATTCCTGGGAAGAGCGGGCTGAGCGAGCGGGGTGTAGACATCAGTCGTAGTGCAAGGCGTTGTCGGCGAGCGCGTGCGTGGTGGTCTCGCCCTTGTCGAGGTCGAGCGCGGCAGCGCGCGCGCGGGCACGTGCGGCCCACTCCACGCGGCAGAAGGCGGCCGTGCCCAGCGACGCCAGCGCGCCCAGCACTATGAGCTGCACCGACAGCAGCGCCTTGGACGAGTAGAAGAAGCACGCCGCCGCCGCTAGCGACTGTTATAGACAATAGATAATACCTTATTGTCGGTCTGATGACATTTTTGTTTTATCTTAACGAGAAAGCTCGTTAATAAAAAGATTGATAGAAATTGCGGTCTCCTGTCTCTGGCTGCCTGATTTTAATGTATGTATGTATGTAAGGTACCTATATAATTATCGACACCGACGTTAACGTCTTAAGACTTACAAAATTTATTTATTAAGTACCTGATCCTCTGACCTATGTCTTTAAATGTGTGTTTGGGGGTTTCATACATTTCCTGTTTGTATAGTTTTTAGTCCATATGTGCCATCATGGTTTTATTTCTTCCTTTTAATGGGGTAAATAATATTTTATTAAAGACACCTTTTTGTTATCATTCAATAATAAGTAAAGATAGTAAAAAAGTGGTAGGTTTATTGATTGATTAAAATTTAACATTTATATTATTGTTTGTGTAGTGATTTGGCCCTAAGCAATTGGTGCAGCTGTGTTGTAGAATGCATTGCAGCTTCAGATATTTAGATCATTTGTTTGATCATTCGAAATATTTCATAAAACGAATAAAAGAGCTGGTTTAAGGAAAATTTACCTTAAAAACATTAGTGCACAACTAATGCACGATACCTCAATATTACCCAAATACATACATTTATTGGCACATATTATGCACCACGACAGTTACCTAAACTTTGAGTAAACCTACACATTTTCCTTATGAAGGTAGGTATATTTGTTACAATCTGGTAGTTAAAGTGAGGTGATAATGTCACCTTAAGATAAAGTATTTATCTTTTTTTCCGCTTGCTGGGGTTTATAAAGTACCTACTAGGCTTAACTTTATTTTAAACTATTATTTAACCTTTTAAAGACCAATACAAGGTAACGTGGGTCAAAAACAGTAAATTACCCTCCAATTAAGATAGATATTTTTTTAAATAGTATTTTGCTAAGAAAATTAAATTAAACTTTACGATATATTGCTAAGCTCTACTTAAAAAAATGTTTATTTTATTGTGTGGTTGACTGTCGTGATAGTATTATAATATTGATGATATCGTGATCATATTAAGGAGGTATTATTCATCGAAAAATTTAGGTTTTATGTGTCTAACTAGCAACGAACCCCATTTTCATAAAGCCTATAAAAGTATTTACAACTATGAGTTAGGTTCTTATGTACTTGTGAATTCAATAACAACTTCACTGCACTATGTCCGATTGCTTGAAGGTCAATGGATTTTCTAGATGAGAAACATCCGAGTGAGTGAATAACCGAGTTATAGATTATCTGTTTAAATGTATATACATTTACTTGACCTTGTGGTGCTTACTTTATAGACCCCTTGTGATTTTCTTCAATAATTTAAAAGTTAACGATCTATTGACGGGCCTGTTGGTCTAGTGGTTAGTGACCCTGACTGCTAAGCCGGAAGTCGTGGGTTCGATTCCCACCCAGGACAAATATTGTGTGATGAGCACGGTCATTTGTTCTATGTCTGGGTGTAATTTATCTATAATATGTATGTATTTAACAATATATAAGTATGTTTATCAGCGGTCTGGTTACCATAGCACAGGCTCTGCCTAGTTTGGGATCAGACGGCAGTGTGTGTGATGTGTAAAGTTATTATTATTATTGATGTAAGTAACGTTTATAGGTATACAATCCAATATATAGATTTCTGTGCTTTGGCATGCTAAATACACTTACTTTTTTAATTAATAACGTTATAATCAGAAAGATTGGTCCTACACATGTAAAAAACATGAAAGATGGGTATTAGAAAATAATATATGTTATTTCAATTTTATTTTTTGGCCATCTAACACACAACTCAATCTATTTTCAAACAAAGCAGAGCTTGTACTATGAAAGCTAGATTGACTGATAGAATACGTATATTTACTTTTCTTTGTAAATACATATATACGTAGAAAACACCCAAACTCCGAAACAAATATTTGCAGATCATACAAACATTTAGACCGACCCGGGAATCAAACCCGAAACGCTACCACTGCACCACCGAGGCAGTTTCCAACAAACCACTTTTTTCCCACACACAAGGATAATTATAAAAAATTACATGAGAAACTAAACACGTTATACCTACATAATCAAAATAAAGAAATAATATATTATATTAACCTTTCTTCTATTATCTTTGCGTAATCTTAATCCTATAAAATGTATTAATAAATTACAATAAATGAAACTAACCTGAGTAAACTTGAATAGTGCAAATGCTGATGTGCTGTTATCTGAGTAGTTGCCACCCAATATCGAATAAATCTGTGTATTGAAGCACGCATCTCCAAACCCAAGTAAGAAACTGCAGAACATAGCCAGTGGAGGTGACGGCGTGATATATGAGACTTCTTCTGTGTCGCCGAAGGGAGCCACGGTGGGTAGATTAATGAAGATTAAGAAGAAACTGAGTAGGTGGATAAAGTAGCCCATTATAACGATTGGGTCTCGACCCCATCTAGTTGTTTTTGAGCCTAATATTCCGAATAACGCTCCTCCTGTAATAGTAGAAATAATATCAATGTTACTCAATCAGTATGTCAAGGCTCCTTAATATTTATTAACATATGAAAAGAACGTAATCTTCAAAGTTTTTAAGGTAAAAGTAAAGATTAGGATACTAGGGATTTCCTTTCTAAGGTACACATGGTTCCCCGGCTAGTTGGTAGGTCGTCTGCCAGTCTGTCTGAACGCGATTTTCATGCACTTTTCACCAATCGATGGAACGATTTATGAGGACCGTTTAAGTATATAATTCATGAAGGTTTCGCATACAAATACGACCATGATTGTTAATAATGGCGTAATTAATAGATTTGTATGCTCCACTAATGTGAATGTGTGCTATTAGTGATATTTCTTTACACAATTTGAGTTAATCGAATTCAATATTTAATTATTCTTATAGTTTTAATCTAAAGATAATTTTTACGTTATTGACAGTACATCGATAATGAAAAAGAGAACGTCGCCTTTATGACACGGTGTGAACGGTAATTAGTTCCCTAATTTGTATATGATTTATTATTTAATTTATTCAGCGGGTTGATAACAACTGTTATATGTAAAACCCTTTGTCTCGATGATAATGAGATACAGTACAATACTTCTGTTAGCCAGTATTACAAATGCAACTGCGTTATTCTATAAATTAGTATCTGTTTGTGGCTTTGGTTGTGTTAAAGTTAATGGAGCGAGCCCGAATAATGGGTAACAAGACTTTTTTCCGATACTTCTTGCTACACGTCTACTAAAAAGCGAAAGGAACTTCGATGCGACCGGGGGTAAACGGACCCCTCACGGCGTTTTTTTTTTCTATAACTGGAAAAGATTTGTATTTAATTACCTGGATGCCTTCATCTAAAACCCTTGTATCTTATGTTATATTCTGTAACACTGACTACGTGTAAATCAACTGATATTTTGAGTAGAAAAGAGGCAGAAGCGCAACAAAATTTCTGTTTACTTATAAAACAGTTTAGATAATTTTCGAGATCCTATTATGGCGTGTGATTGTCATAAAAATAGATGATTATGTTTTCTGAGGTAAGACTTTGTTAAGTATTTCAGGATGTCCTTACATATGGTGTCCGGAAAAAAAAAGGAGAAAGAGAGAACATATTCATTGTTAATTATCTCCCTTGCTGTATTATAATATATACTTAGTGTTCAAATAATAATATATTGGTTACCTAATAATTCTGCGAAAACAGCAAACACATACTAACATTACATAGTTTCTTTACTTACCGAGAACTTCTCCCAAACCGATGAAAACTCCAGACAAACCCACCAGTTGCTTTGCATTTTCACCCATAGCTAGTGTGAAGCCGATGCTGGAGCTATATACTCCGCTGAAGAAGGACAACTCCACGCCTGGAAATAACAACACCTTATCAAATTGGCTAAGTTATTAACCTGTCTATTTGCCTAAATATTTTAATTTAAAAATCAGTTTTTACGGTGTCTGACTAAGTAACATGGGGTAGAATACTGCCAGAGTTAAAGATAACTGACTGATAAAGACCTCTTTACGTTGAGAATATGTCTTCACAGGAGAACGGCATTGAGCAGGCAATGAAAAATACAGAATAACAGATTGACTGTTCGGGCATTAGCTACGTCACTGAATTTCGCTCTGCCCGAAGTTGCCCGAAATGAGGGATTTGTGTAACTATTTGAAATTATAGTTGATTATAAAAACGATTACGTACAGCTGACTTGTTTCAGATGGAAGTCAGTAAAAGGTTTTGTGGAGTTTCCACTGCCTACGTGAAGGGTGACAAAACTAGGTATTATTATTCGTCATACATGTGGCTATGACGCAAAAATGATGAAGTCTATCCTTAAAAGTATATTTTAAGGATAGACTTTATTATTTTATACTTACAAACAATTTAACAAAGATCATGACGTAGGTACTTAGTTTACGTAATTTATTTATTAGACTTCTAAGGAAAACAGTAGATAGTAATTAATACTGTCCAACAATAATGTTGTAGGATGCGAGTATTAATGCAACTGATTTTTTATTAAACCTTCGGGTAGATAAAGTAGATGATATGGATCTTTAAGATAAAAACAGGATTTTGCAAAATCAAAAGCTAATAGGTAACCAATGAGCCACATTCAGCATATCTACGGATATTTATCACTCGGATAGGCTGTATACTTACTTACTGTTTGCACTAGTCATGAATTGACTTTCTAAGTTTGTTTACAAATGTACTTAGTTTAAAATATACAAGTAAAGTTATAATAAAATGTAAGCAAGTTTAAAAATATATGTTTAATTATACAAGGCAATAAATAACATTAAACCTTCAACTTTGCCTCAAACAGCTCTTAGATTTAGACCGAAGGTCCATCCTTTCATTCCCACATACCAAAAAGTCAAATCAACGGTATGACAACTCCTTTTTAGTTCGAATTGGCATTGTCTGAAATGAACCGCCTGCATCTTTTTTAAAGACAAATATCATTCTGGATCGTAAAACAGTACAATAAATATTTATCCTCACTATGCATACGGTGATATAGAAAACAAACGCCTATTCCATTAATCAGTATAAAAACTGCGGATTGCAAATAGTCGGCCCGTTTATCATTACATAATAACGTGATAATAAGAGAACACGTATTAGTTATTTTATTAAAACTAAAATGGCATTATAATTTACTCATACATTAAACTGATAAAGATAAACCCAGATATATATTTTTTTGTAAAATGATATAGCCACGGAATGAACACTAACGCAATAAGAATACCTCTTTACATTGCAGTGACATTTTCGAATATGGATTTATTTATTGACGTACTCCAAACCGGTTCTTTTAACAACTAAAGTGTGTCGCAAATACTGTATAGGCTTTAAACAGGGTTGTTTGAAGCCTATGCAGTATTTGCGACACGACGACGACGACTTATTTTTGGATGCCATTAATACCCATAAAAAACAGACGGCACTATTTGAGGCTTAGATTCGCCAATTAGACAAATTGAGTTTACACTTGATTCGAACTTCGTCAATAATAAACACAATAGTAGACAACAATAATAAGTTGTCACAAAACGAAGCATAAGAAAGGTAAAAGGACGGACCCCACATGGACGTACAAATATTCATTAGTATTCAGGACCAGCTAAGATGGCAGTCAATGCTCCCAAAACTTCTCGGAATATACAACTTGGGGTAATTTTATGACACAGACATGTTGTTAGAAGGAAATAAATTTAGATGTGGCTTTGAAAGAGAGCATTCTTTTATTATTTCGTATTATCTTACAATCGCAACAGTTAAATATAATATTGCATACGCAGGTATGAATTAATACAATCAATACCCTCAAGGTACAACATAAGAACAAGGTAGATGGACTAACAGTCTCGACAGAGTTCAACATTCATTTGGTTGTTTGTTGCGTCTCGTCACGTGACAGACACGCCTCGAATTGTTAGCGACAAGTAATGTTTACCGAAGTAACCCAAGTAAGGTGCTTAAAATATTTTAACCGACTTAAAAAAGAAATGGTTCCCAATGTAGTTATATTTTTTATGTTTGTGTTCTCATAATTCCGTTATTTAAAAACCGATTTTGAAAAAATATTTTATTATTTGGAATGGTATACCTCCCAGAGGAACAAAATTGAAGTAAAATATATCACCTAAGGGTTGTAAATAAGGTATGAAGAATACAGTTTATTACAATTCATCATGATGTAGGCACATAGTAATATGTGATACTTTAAAATAATAATTTAATCGTGTACTTTAAAGTCTAAATTATCACGGAAGTATCAGACGTTATATCTATGGGTTCAGATAAAAGTTTTCTACAATTTAAACTACGATTTATAAACCGGCTTTCGTCATAGAATGCAGTAACTGCGTAGATTAGAAAACAGCATTGTAATTATGCTTTGAACTGTTGTAATGCCCTGCGGTGCGACGTTTAGAGTACATCGACCTGCTTACGACTTCAGGATCGCATTCTTTTGTTGGTCGCACTTTAGATAAGCAGGCACAAAAAACAAAGGCAAATAGTAATACAGGCATAAAAGACTAGATAATAATAATTTATACTGCCGAAACTTTATTTAATTAAGACACTTTATTAAATAAGACACATTCATTAAAACTCGATTTTTTTTTTTAAATATAAGACTATACTAAGACTTATAGTGCGAAGTGGACTTATGCATGACATCTTGAAAAACTATATTAATGGGACAATTAATAAATGAAAATGAAAAAAAAAATGAAGGATATAAACATCTTGCTTACCGGTGTAAATGAACGTCAGACTTAGCAGCAACATATCTCTTGTGCAAAATAATTTCAATGCACCTTTGAAAGCCTCCAAGGGCGTCTCTGCCACTTCATGGGTCACGATATCCCCCTGAAATTTAAAAGATCAAAACGATAGTATTTACTTATATTTCATGCCGTTTATATTGATTTTAAACATCGACCTGTATGCAAAAAGAATCTTGTTTAATCAAGTTGCATTTGAGTATCAATGACATTTATAAATTGTGCCATATCGAAGCTTTAAAAGCCTAGTAGCCATGATTCCATTTAAATAAAGTGTTAGAATTGGCAGATGTTTACCTTGGCATCTTCGAGAGTAGGCATGCGTTTAGCTGGTCTCAGCAACATAAGGAACAGAAGACCGATCACGCATACACCTGTCAGAGCTCCGAAGACAACATTACGAGTTTCAGAATCAATATGTGTCTTGCCTTGGAACTTAATGAATACGAATAAATTGCCAAAGAACATACTGTAAAGAAAAAAAAAGTGTGACTGAGTATATACGAATTTGGAGTTAAATGCGATAAATTATCTAGTCCTATTGATTTTGTAAGTACTATAGAAGTTACAAAATTTAACGTTATAAACTTATTCAAATAAATAAAAATACCAAACAAATAGGTAAGTTTCCTAGTCACTTAGTTTCGTATCTATATTTTTATAGAGACATTGTCCTTCATATACTAGGAAGTAAGTACTTTACCTGCACTGCAACATAGCCCAGAAAACACCGGAATTCCTGGATATAGTATCGGCATCGCTGTTGAGTGTCAAGTAGTTGCCTTGACCAGTCCATATCGCCGCAGCGCCTGCTCCGATCAACACGCTAGCCACGTACAAAAGCCAAGTCCGCGGGAACAGGAAAGTGACTATGAAGAACCTGCAATAGGATGATCGATTATCCACCGGAAGCAGTTTTTGCACTTAGGCTGTCAGGGTTTGAAGTAAAACGTGGTCTCGTGAATGCCGCGAAATATATCAAAGATAAATCCTTTTTTTAAGTTGAACCGACTGCAAATAATTCTAACAACAAAGAGCACTAAAAACCTAGCAGCAATCGCGGTTGATTTGCTGTCCTTTTTTTAAGAGTTCCGTTGTCTGTCTCTGAAACTCATCATCAGATCTATATGAAATTTAAATCAGACATTTCGGAATAAACCCTTTTTAAAAATTTTGAAAATCCGTCTATATGTATATGAGTTATGCCCGAACACACATAAAAAATATATATAAACATTCAAATTGATAACCGAGGAGGATATCAATTTGAATGAAAGGCTGTATGCCTTGGCCAAAAGTATTAGGCACCCTACATTTTACTTAAAATAAAGGAAAAAACAACTTATACTTTTTGAATTTATTTATTACTATTAAAATTCACAAAAAGGAATGAAAAAAAGTTAAAATCTAGTCGGTCCACCTTTGGATTTAATTACTGCCCTAATTCTAGCTAGCATGCTGCGTACAAACTTAGTACAATCCTCCCTTGTAATGGCATGCCATTCTTGTACTAACGCATTTTTTAATGCTGTTTTCGATGTGATACTATGCTCTTTAATCTGGCGCTTCAAAATGCTCCAAAGATGTTCAATTGGGTTCAAATCTGGTGACTGCGCTGGCCAATGAAACAAGTCAATGTTGTTTTCAGTAAACCAACGCATCATAGTCGCTGACTTATGACAAGGTGCATTGTCTTGCTGGAATATAACTCCCTCTAAGTTGGTATCGCCGAAAATACTCGTTAGCGAAGGCATAAGCGCAGTTTCAAGAACTTTTATGTACTTTTCGCTGTTCATACGACCTTCTCAAACAAACATTTCGCCAACCCCATCAGTAGCTATGCAGCTTCCAGCAGCCAATCTTCCTCAGTAAAATGTTGATGCCGTAGAGCCCATTCAAGTAGTTTTCTTTTGTTAGCTTCTGAAAGCCAGGGCTTCTTCCTGGCTTTGCATCCTTTTAAGCCTGCTTCTCCAAGTCTTCTTCTGGTGGTCCGAGCACATAGTGGCTTTCCAGCCTCTTCGGACAAAGTAGCAGCAAGCTCTGATGATGTTTTCTTCCGATCTTTCATAGATTCGCGTATTAATTTTCTATCCTCGCGCTTCGAAGTCACACGTTTTCTGCCTGTTCTGAACGTGAACATTTCACTAACTTAGCAATTTCTTTTTGCGACTTCCCTTGTTCATGGTAAAGTTGTATTTTTACTCGGTTTTCCAAACAAATTTCACTTCTTTTCAGCATTTTTAAATAAATTACGTGTCAATTTAATCACTATGTTAGAAATAAAAGCTTGTTTACTCGTTAGAGTCCTGAACACAAGTGACCAAACATTGACTGATAAGAACGCATAAAAACAAATCCTTTGTTTTCAGTCACCAGGTGTTTTATGACCATAACAGATAGCTGCTTGCTTTTCTAGGAAGTTATTTGTGACCCCGGCATGCCATCTAAGATAAGCATTTATTCATTGTTCAAGCAGTAAACATGAATTGTGCATTTTCTGGGGTGCCTAATACTTTTGGCCAAGGCTGTATATTTTTCTTTTTGGAATCGGTTAAAAAGAAAAATAAATCAACTACAACTTCTAATATGGTTATATTTTTAGTCTAAACATACGTATGGTAAATACTTTATTAAATGATGAGCTTTTAAGCTAAGGTAATTATTGTTAAGCTGTTTCTATGCGAGAGTGCGAAAAATTTTGACCGTGGCCTGGATCACGTTAATCCAAATCAGGGTTCAGATTTTTCTGATCTCTATCCTAGGTTCTTTCCTGTAACTCTGACAATGTGTGTGTAAAATTTTACACTATCCGGTTGAGTAGTTCATACATGAAAAGCAATAAAAACCCACACTAATTCATTTTAGCAATTATAACATTAATTGATGCTATTTGCAAATAATTTTCACAACCCAGTTTCAAATACCGTTAGTAGTCTAATAACAAAACGTCATTGTAAAGTGCTGGGATTTCAAAACAGGACAAAAGAATCTGATTTAATCAAGTTGCATTGTATTGAGTGAACGTCCCGGGACCCAAATCTCACTCATAAACAAACCTCAAAAGCTGCCGACAATAAAAATTGAAGTTAGGACCGGGAGTTAGACCACTTTTATTAAATTGACAAAATTACCTGGTACAATAATATAAAAATTCTGAATCAGTACGACGTTTTCCATGACCCCTTTCTTGCAAAGTTACAAAGTTATCTGTTTTTAAAATATTTATAAAATGTACAATAACAAAAAAATAATCTTTATGATTCTCATGAAAGTTCAGTGGCCAGAAACTAGACTAGATAGTTAGATACTCATACCATTTATTATTACATAATAACTAAACTGTTAACAATGAATTCGATAGCAATAGTTCATGGTGATTGGTTGCAACTCTAAGTTTAAGTGTTTTCGTTTTCTCAGAATACTAGATTCAACTGTCACAAATTGATTTCACAACAGATCAAAATAATCTGAAAGAAACGGAGCAAATAATTTGAAAAAGAAAGTTGAACTCATGTGCCTGTACCGACCATTACCAAAACGTCAAGTATGCTTGACTTACTACACGGTGGGCCACTAACACACAAACATACAACATCGTTTACATTATATAATAGTATTCTTGAGTTACAACAGTTTAACAGTACGTTAACCTGTAATAAACATTACGCTTGTATGGACCGAGTTTAAACACTCTCTACTACTACTCTCTACTAGTGCTTAATTGTGTTCACTCTTACTACCAATACCTACATAAGTGTGTATGTAGCCATTGAAACTAAGTATTCTAGAGTTATGGTGACCAACATTAATAAATTACTAGAAACCCCATTAAATCATTAACTGGACAAATAGTCAGAGGAGAGTACTCCCTAAACGGCTGTTTATTAGAAAAGAGAACAACATAACAAAGTATAACAGACTACATTCGTATTCTTGAAGAATCAGTTTTGGTTAAGAAGTATTAGTCATCGGTTCTTTGTCAAGGGTCTTCAAGAGAGTTCAATTTATTTAAAAAGGAATCAATACTATAATCAAAAATGTTTAACTAGTTACAACTGGTTATTACTGTATAAGAGCAACTGTCATTTTCTACACTGACTGAAACGCACCAAAGGTAAAACTTATCCTCGTTGAACTAGCATTGCATAAGAAGCAGGCAAGCAATATCAGCCGTTTTCGAACACGGCTAATATTTCACAACACAATTACGTAGAGTATTCAATTAATATAACAAACGTTTATCTGTCCACTCAACAATATAGTTACTACATATTTCAAGTTTTCCTTAATTTCATTTTTCCTATTATTACGGGGTCGGGTGTAATATAATGGCGGAAGTAATTACCACTAGGAATTTATCGGCTAAAGGCGTTTGAATACAATACAAGTAAATGATGAAACGTTTTAATCTGTGAGGATAATAGAACCATAGAAAACTTATCTGTGGTGAAAACCATATTGCTTTACAATATTACATTACGTGTATATAATTATCATTGATCTTTTGCTTTTTTTGCATTACGTCATCGAGTATACACCGTTGTTACGGCATGGTGTATACGCGATCTTATAATGCGCTGGAAATTGGAATAACATTACTATGTTCTGTCAGAAGTAAGTTCACTACAAGGGGTATATCCTAGGAAACAAGTCCCCGATAACCCTGGAATACCCTGGCCCAACGATAGCATTGCGTGCAGAGAGAGTTGTTCCTCTTCTGGTTTAGAGACTCACGTGCGGAACACGTCGCGCTATCGTCTCAGTCCTTCTTCTGCTACGGTAAAGGGTAGCCTAAACCCGTAACCCCTAGGCCAGGGCTCATGGAGAGAATTAGCTCTCTCACATTCCCATTTCATCAAGACCGCCTCATGAGCGAAAATCACCTCTTCATTAAATGAACCATGGTCGCATGGGGCAGCACGCCCGCTTCGACAGAAATCCTATACTACCCTTTATAATATTAATATTATTTTTGTGTGCGATTTCAGTATCAGTATCCGTGTGGTGACGGATTAAGAGTACAGAGTGCCACCACCCCTATTGATCTCATGGGTGTGGTAAGAGCCGACTAAGGGAGCAAATTACGCAGGACAACAGCACTGCAAAGAGTAAAAAAACTTAAAACAAACCCTATAAAAAAAAAAATCGTAATATTTTCGGACATCTGACATAACGCCATCTAGTTTCAAACTAAGGAGAGCTTGTATTATGAAAGCTAGGTTGACTGATTGAATAAAAATATACTTTTTTTTGTAAATACATACATATTATACATAGAAAACACATAAAAAACAACAGCAGTCGCATACGCTACCACTCCGCCACCGAGGCAGTCAATCTGTCTGGCCAGCGTGGTATACTAGGCCTAAACCACCTTTTCAAGGCGAGGCTTATGTCCATCAGTTGACTTTTAAAGGCTGTTGATGATGATGATAATAGTTCTGGTGTTTTGTGTATTGAGTGACAAAAAAAAGGTATAAGAAACTTGTGAAAAGAATATTTTAATAAATAAATACTATACAATACAAACCCGTAAATGAAACAAAGATACTTGGACATGCTTGGATGTAATAATCTTTGAGTCAGTATATCTGATTCACTTCAGTATATTTGAAGAAACAATGTTCTGAAAATGTGTAACCATGTTGCAACTACTGATATTTTTATGCTTAAAACGATCCTTTGTTTTGTCTTTGATTCTCTTGTTTTATGTTAATCAAGTCTCTGATTTCTAAAGTTTTGCCTTACTACCACCAACTTTCCTTGTTTTCAACAAAGTACTGATGTTACACGGCAATTAACTACTGCGAACTTAGGGAGCATTTCTAGTTGACCAGTCAGATATAAATTGTCTACAGTTTAAGTTAGAGATACAGATCG